TTATGAAGCTACCAAAATACCTTTTGTGCGCAAAGAAAACAAAAATAATGACTTTATTCAACAATTTCTTCTCTTCCGTGTCAGTCTTCGATGTGTGTTCACAACAGTACCACGACACAAGCGTGTGCATTCCGCTGCTTGCAAACAAGCCGCAGCGCATCCAGATTCTACGTCAAAACGCTCTAATTCACGCTCCTGCGTCAGCAGCACCACACGCATCCATGGTACTCTCCTGACTGACACGGAAGAGAAGAAATAGTTGAATAAAGCTGTGAAAAAAAGTGATCTGTTTTTTAAAGATTTTTATTTTATAAGGGATGATAAATAAGACAGCACTATATATATTAAGCACAATATATAAGGCAATATTAAGCACAATATATTATTTTTGCACTGACCTTCAACAATGTGAATGTACAGTAACAGTGTTGAATGGTAATTGCACAAAATATTAATTTTCTAACGTTGCCAGTTATATGTTACACAGAGGTTCCAGGTCGAAGGAATGAGAAATTCTATGACTGCTGCAAGGAGCCGTACCCAGATGTGACTTTCACGGTGGTGATGCGGAGACGGACGCTATACTATGGTCTAAATCTGCTTATCCCCTGTGTGCTCATCTCTACTCTGGCCCTGCTGGTCTTCCTGCTGCCTGCTGACTCAGGCGAGAAGATCTCTCTTGGTGAGCTAGTAGCTACACACTTAGTGCCTTTGTCATCATTTTAAAATGCTAATGTTAGATGTGATTATAAAGTGATGTCGTTGTAGTTTTTATGTTAATAATAGTGAATTGTATTCATTCAAGTGTGCATTTACATATGTGCATTTAGTTTGAAATGTCATGTTTTCTTCAACTTCCTTGCCTAGAATTGTCTCCTTTTGGGAAACCGGCAAGACATTGAAGGAAATGATACACACTTCACCTTTAAAAGGGTTTATTATGGGAGTTAAGCATGACCAGCCTCTGCCATAACCAGAAGTGCATAAATGTCACGTTTGCCATTCATTCATGTTATTTCTCACACCGGCGAACCTCTCCATCCTATTTTTTGCTGACTTAGTGAAATATCCACATTTAAACCGACATCATATGAAATTCACTTTGGCACAGGCGAACAATTTATGCCGACATACCTGTAAGCTACTGTAAGTGGCGTGTAGTGAGATTGATGGCTTGCCAAAGATCGCTTCATTGATTAATGCAGTTGGAGAGCTCTGAAGGCCAAATGCCTCTATTTATCTGGCCTGCTGGATTTAGAGGATGCCGTCACAGTAAATGAGGGAACGCTCTGGAAGAGACTGAACCTGAAGTCACAGCAGAACACAATTAATTTTATTTTTTCGTTTTGTCTTTCCTAAATGGTATTAGTGGGATGAGGCTGCCAACATTACTTTCCACAGAGTGAGTCATTGGCTGTTGCTCTGTGAGTTACTCAAGATCAATACTCTAAATGCCAGCAATTAGCCGTCTTTGTATGATACAGTACATTGAAGTTTCATTTTATATAGCTCTGCTTAATTTTTTATCTAAGTAGTGCACTAAAGGAAGCTATTTTATGGTAACCAATTAAGACTTAAAACTGCTTAAGACTTAATTGCTTTTTTTGCATTCTCTTTCATCACTTTGACAGTAGCCACTTATGTAGGAGAGACTGGGGGTAGTTGTCACACTTTTTACTCCAAGAGAATATTTCTCATAGTGGGTCTATTTTTGGACAGTAACCACATATTATATGGATAGAATTCATAGAAATATATTGATTTAGTTTGCACTGGTTGTTTGAAACTGACATACCATATTTAGTTCAGTCATGAAACTCTACATGGCTTGGGCTGATACTGTAGGTCCTTTACATGCAATCTGCTAGCAATCACATAATTTACTGTGGGGCACAAGCAGATTGGCCTCTGCTGATTTTGTAGCCAATAGGCTTGCTTGCTCACCGTTTAAATAGCCTGGTTCAGTGTTTGCTGTAAGCTGGTCCTTCAGAGTTCCTCTGAATCCCTCCACCTCCTCCAGCTCCACCTGTCTAGATCTGCTACGCGTTTTATGTGTGCCTTTATTCATGCAGTAGCAGCATATCTTACCTCCTCACATCAGTGTGTTTGTGTATCTATTGGCAGTAGCATGTCCATTCTAAAACTAGTAAGAGTTGTCATGATTGAAATAGCTCTTGCAACAACAAGTCTTTATCTGTTTTATGGTTTCATGTGAAAATGTGTCTGTCACATGTACAATGAGGGAGTAATATATATGTTTTGATTGTCAGGGATCACAGTCCTGCTCTCTCTGACAGTTTTCATGCTTCTGGTAGCAGAGATAATGCCCGCAACATCAGACTCTGTGCCTTTAATAGGTAAGTCCAACCTACGATGTACATAATGATGTCAGATGTGTGATCGACTGAATTGAATTAACTGATATGTTATAATAATTTGGTCAAACCACTTTGCATAGCCTTATAAATCACTGTAAAGGAGAACTTTTGTAGTAAACTTCAAAAACAATTGGGAACACTTATGAGAGCTGATTTTAATAACTTATTTGAATTAGTAATTGATACAATCCATCTGAATAAAGTCAGTAAAATTAACTTTGCAACATTACCGACTCTATAAAGCTGCAATAATTTAATCCCTTGTTGAAAAGAAATTCACTTAATTGTATTAAATGTGTACTTGTACTTTAAATCTTAAAAGTATATTTTCTAAAACTGTACTTGCAGATAATGCAATATTAATAAAATAAAAGGCCACTTAAGTGTACTTTTCATTAATGTTTCTTAACACACTTTAAAAAGGCACTTTGTATTAATGTCAAATAAAAAAAAATTAAAGTACATTTTAAATTGCTTTAATAACCTTTCGTTGTGCTTTAAAGTACACGTTTTAATGTGTTGACTAACATACTAAGCACATGTAAAGTACTTGATTAACTGTAGCGTTACTTAAGTAGGTCTGAAAAGCACTAATGTTTAGCGAAATGAATTTTATATAAATTCAAACTATAATATTTTCATTTAATTGCAAGTTCAGTTAAGAGTCAAAAAATTGCATTGAGTTTGCATGTAATTATATTCTTTTAAATATTATTTCAGTAAGAAGTACTATTTTTAAAAGTATGCTAAAGTGTGCTTCTTTTTCACAAGGGAACACTTACATCAGTTTGTGAAAACAAAGGTAAATGTGTCCATTACACAAAAAAAAAAAAAAAAAAAATTTGGGGGCTGTCATTTTTTTTTTAAAATAATTCATACCTTTTTTCAGCTAGAATGCATTTTTCATTAATGTTTCTTAACACACTTTAAAAATGCACTTTGTATTAATGTCAAATAAAAAAAAATTAAAGTACATTTTAAATTGCTTTAATAACCTTTCGTTGTGCTTTAAAGTACACGTTTTAATGTGTTGACTAACATACTAAGCACATGTAAAGTACTTGATTAACTGTAGCGTTACTTAAGTAGGTCTGAAAAGCACTAATGTTTAGCGAAATGAATTTTATATAAATTCAAACTATAATATTTTCATTTAATTGCAAGTTCAGTTAAGAGTCAAAAAATTGCATTGAGTTTGCATGTAATTATATTCTTTTAAATATTATTTCAGTAAGAAGTACTATTTTTAAAAGTATGCTAAAGTGTGCTTCTTTTTCACAAGGGAACACTTACATCAGTTTGTGAAAACAAAGGTAAATGTGTCCATTACACAAAAAAAAAAAAAAAAAACTTTGGGGGGAACATGGTACGATAATGGTATCAGATGGTAATCAGGTAGTACTTTGGGTTATATACAGTAGTCAACATTTGAAGTGGATCAAAAAAGTTAATCAAATTTGTCCTATAAGACAAGAACGCATTTTGGTTTTAGGTTTTAGGACAACTTCGATGAAAGGTTTTGATCCACTTCAAATGTTGACTAGTGTATGCCACAGTATTGAAATTAATGTATGATGCAATTAATGTGGTACTAATCTATGATACAAAGATTTTAAAGGAATTACAGTACCATGGCTCATTTTTAAAATATCACAATAGTACCTGTCTGCATTTACAAGGGAAATGTATGAGTAGCCACACAACTGTTGCCCCATTGTAAGTGCATTTCTGTCCACAATTTTTTTTTTTTTTTACAAACTCTAACATTTAGTCAAAATACATTTGGGGTAATCGACAGATACTGTCAGTAGATTTTGCTTTTATTTAATCTCAGTGTCTGAAACAAGTTTTGTTTTTAGTAGGATTTTCTCTAGGTTGTTAAATGTAATTCTCTGTATCCTTTGATTAGCTCAGTATTTTGCCACCACCATGGTTATTGTTGGCCTGTCTGTGATAGCCACAGTCTGGGTATTACAATACCACTACCATGACCCGGATGGAGGAACAATGCCAAAATGGGTGAGGCATTGCTGCTTTTATTTCTTCTTACCATATAAACCCATCTGGCTGAATTGAATGATATTTTGATTACTTCCACTAATTGGAAAACAGTGTTATTTAGTAGTTAATTTTTCTGTCAGACCCGTGTGGTGCTGTTGAACTGGTGCGCGTGGTTCCTGCGGATGAAGAGGCCTGGAGAGGACAGAGTTCGCTCAGCGTGTCACAATAAGCAGCCGCGCAGCAGCTTCTCCAGCGTGGATCTGAACATCAGCACCGGAGCCGCGCAGTCCACCAATGGAAACCTGCTGTACATCGGCTTCCGTGGAATGGATGCTATTCACTATGCCACTTCACCCGATTCGGGGGTGATCTGCAGCCGGCTCGTCGCCACAGGTGAGGAGGATGTGCTGCTCCCTGGGGCTCAGGCGTCTTCCGTTAGTAGCGGCCCTGGAGAAAGTGAACTGTCCAAAATCTTGGATGAAGTTCGGTACATCGCCAAACGCTTCCGGGACCAAGACGAGGAGGAGAGTATGTGTAATGAGTGGAAGTTTGCAGCATCTGTCATTGACCGTCTTTGTCTCATGGCCTTTTCTCTGTTCACCATCCTCTGCACCATTGGTATCTTAATGTCTGCCCCTAATTTTGTAGAGGCCATTTCCAAAGATTTCTTTACCTGAGGCCTTCGCATAGACATTTGAGACCCTGGACCACAAAACCAGTCTTAAGTCGCTGGGGTATATTTGTAGCAATAGCCAAAAAAACATTGTATAGGTCAAAATGATAAATTTTTATTTTATGCCAGAAATCATTTGGATATTAAGTAAAGATCATGTTCCATGAAGATATTTTGTAAATTGCTTACCGTAAATATATCAAACCTTAATTTTTGATTAGTAATATGCATTGCTAAGAACTTCATTTGGACAACTTTAAAGGCGATTTTCTCAGTATTTTGATTTTCTTGCACCCTCAGATTCCAGATTTTCGAATAGTTGTATCTCGGCCAAATATTGTCCGATCCTAACAAACCATACATCAATGGAAATATTATTTATTCAGCTTTCAGATGATGTATAAATCTCAATTTCAAAAAATTGACCCTTATGACTGGTTTTGTGGTCCAGGGTCACATTTGTACTTCTCAGAGCCTCTTAAGTGTAATAACATATTTCTTTTATAGATCAACTAAAATTTGATTTGAACTAATAGTTCATCCAAAAAGGAGATTCACTTTAATTGTATGGAAAAGAGCAGCGTGAACATTTTGCTTAGGCTCTTCTTTAGTATTTCACGCAAGAAATGAATTATACAGACATGAGGATGAGTAATGATTTAGAAATTATGAACCATTCCTTCATGACTGGTCTCAACATACATGTTTTTGAGTGTTTGTGTATTAGTGTCTGTATAAATTGATGTATTAACTGAAGTGTGCACCAGAGATAGGACTGTAGCCTCATATGCACTTTATAAAAGCTTATAATTAATTTTTTGTTTGTTTGTTTTCATAAATGAAAACATTTGCTTTACACACATGCAAACATGCATCTATGAATTTCTGTATTGTTATATCTGCCATTATGTTTTTGTCTATACTTCTCACTGCTGTTATATGTCTTTCGTTGTACGTCTTATAACTGCTGGAGAATCAGTCAGTGTATGTGATGATATGAAGGTGGAGATTTCTAACCTTTTTCCCCCCCAAAATATTGTACAGTATAATGACAAATAAACATATTTTTGTAGGTTGAATATGATTTGTCAAACTTATTAAATGTGTTAAAACCAGCAAAATGTTGTGACTGAAAATCACTACATTAACCACTCGGATAGGAAAACACAATACTAGTCTTTCTGTCGAACTTCATTTAACAACTTGTTCTCATATCATAAATACCAGAATATTGTTTGACATGTAGAGAGTGTGTAACATCTCCATCGGGTGGCTGGTAATAAAACTGTGTAATATGAGACACTGCAAAGCCAGGACATGTTTGGGTCACAAATGCTACACACTATATTACATTACCATATGCCTTTATGAATTTTTAGATGCTATTTTTGTGGCATTTTTCTCTCTTTTTTTTCTGGCTCCTTCAGCGTATATCAGCCCAAACTTAAATTATTCATCTAATTATAATCTGGAAAAACAGTTCCCTTTTTAGGTCTCATTTATACATTTATGTAGTATAAATAGGTTCTTTCACTCTAAAAATGATTCAGCAACATAAAGTGGTGAATTCGGTTAAAAAACATGATATACATATTTACATTTATTCATTTATTATTATATTTATTCATATATTATTATTTATAAATTATTTTATTATTTAATAAAAATAATTAAACTTTTAACAGTGAAAAGTGTGAAGGAAATGCTTAAATTATTCCCCCAGATGCGTAAGAGAATTAAAATTAATTCTACCACAAAATTAAAATTATATTGTTTTCTATTATTGTATTGTTTCAGTGCAGTGGCAAGTAGTGTCCATACTTTGCAACAGTAAATATAAACTTTAAATATGAATAAATTATAAAATGATTGTATATTTGTATTCTGTAGGGTGAAAATTTGTGCCTATTTAACAGTTAACATACAATTGAATTCAACTGTTGTTTAAACAAAAAAAAAAAAATTGTTATCTTTTTTTAGAAAAAGTTGTTCCCCAAATTTATATCTGCATAAATTTAGCAAGCGTCTGTGGTATTATGCTGATAACAAATTTGACATATTTTAGTCTAAATTTTAATTAATATTTTCAAATTTTCCCATGATCTTGAAGCTCAGCCCCCATTTTAGAAAAGTCTGGATTTGTGCTAATTTCTCTGTGGTGATAATTGCTCCCTTGATAGAAACCAATTGAAAACAAAAATGTGATTAAGCTTCCATTTAACTGAATACAGCACATTTAACAAAATTTACATGCATAGAAATAAATTGTATGGTTAAAAAATATGCATGTTTACAAATTCTGCCTCTTGTTTGCCACTCCATCTGAACAATGACCCAATTGCTTTCATTATTATTATTTTTTATTTTTTTTCAGGACCAAATATATAAAAACATTAATAACAAACCTGGCAGTGATAAATATTACCATGAACTGCTTACACAGGCTGAATAGGAAAACTGAAATTCTGTAAATACATAAACAACAGCAGAACCTATTTTTTAGCCACTAAATGAGAACCACTAGTATATCTTTCTGGTATCCCTTACCAAAAAGTAGTATACTTCAAGTTTATTTTATTAAGTATACTTAAGTAAAGTTCAAGTATATTTTAAGTATACTTTATGTAGTAAGTTTACAAATATCAGTGTACTAGTAGTATACTTGTAAGTGTACTATTTCAATACTCCTTGGGACTAAATTGGCCCACTTTCTAGTATATAAAAGTATACTTTTAAGTATACTTTAAATATAACAGTAGTAAATTTTGAGTACACAACTAGTTTACATCAAAGTGTTTAGCTTGTACTGCAACTATACTAAAAGTGAACTTATAGGTATACTGATAGTTTACTAATTAAATACTTGTAGCAGCATTTTTAGTACACTTTGAAGTATATTCTCAAATCCAATGTCAGCTCTAAATGGACACAATCAAGCTAGGGCGTTCCCCGTATTAGGCGACATGCATCGTCATCGCCTGAACGGCGCGAGAAATTGGCGATGGCTACCCGCCTGTGGACGAGGTGGGCCAAAGACGCTAGTCCGATTACGACTACGATTGGGTACCATCAACATCGGTACGATGACTGGAAGGAGCCGCGAATTGGCCAACGTCCTCAAGACTCGCCGCATCGACATCGCGTGCATTCAAGAGACGAAGTAGAAGGGAGCAAAAGCCAAGGACATTGGCGACGGCTACAAGTTCTACTACAACAGTGAAAAGCTGCGGGATAGCGTTGTCGAAGTCAGCTGGGTGTCCGACTGGCTTATGTCCATCAAGATCGCCTCCGGATCGACGTCGATGCGAGTCATCTCGTGCTATGCCTTGCAAACTGGCTGTGCGACCGACGTTAAGGATGCGTTCTGGGAGAGCCTGGAAGCCCATCCTCGATCAATCGAACCGGAAGAACGCCTGGTACTCGGTGGAGATCTGAATGGACACGTCGGGTCGGAACGAGATGGATACAAGCAAGTACACGGCGGGCAAGGGTATGGCACCCACAACGACGACGGTGACCGAGTCCTCGACTGCGCCGAGGCCCACGATCTTGCTGTGGCCAACACCTTCTTCACAAAGAGACTGGCGCATCTCATCACCTACAGCAGCGGTGGATGAATGACCCAGATCGATTATTGGATGCTCAGACGGCACGACCTGAAACTGGCAACCAACGTTAAGGTGGTCCCGTCAGACAACATTGGCCCACAACACCAGCTCCTTGTTATGGACATCCAATTGGACCTCGGACAGCATCGGCGAGCGCGGACGACCGGGACGGAGCGGATCAAGTGGTGGAAGCTCCCTGAGAGCAAGGATCAACTAAGGGGCGCCCTCAGACTCGACGACATGGACCTTGACCAGCTGGTGGACGCCATCTGGAGCAACGTGATCGAATGATCGGATGAAGCAGATGATCGACAAGCAAATTTGGTGGTGGAACTACAAAGTGCAAAAGGCGGTCAAGGAGAAGAAAGCGGTGTTCAAAGCATGGCACCAATCCCTCAGCCAACTGGACTACGAACAATACAAAGCGCTCAAATTGGCGGCGAAGCGAGCAGGCGCGGTGGCAAAAGCCACATTCCATGACCGGCTAAACAAAGAGCTGGACACAACCGGGGGGAGCAAACAAAATTTATTGATTGATCAACGCCCGCCATCACGCAACGCAGGATTTCGGCCAAGTTAAGCATGTCAAGGACAACGACGGCAACACCTTGCGAGACGCCCCCGCCATCCTCCAGCGCTGGAGCGATTACTTCGTGAAGATCAGCAACAACGCATTTCCTCATCTGCCAATCCAAAGCGCCCACCCCGTCTCTGGCCCCATCATGCCGATAACGACAGCGGAAGTGGAGCCATTAAGAAGATGAAGAACGGGAAAACAACCGGTCCCGACGATATCCCCATCGAAGCCTGGAAACTCCTCGGGCACAGAGGTGCCGAGACCCTCGCCGTCATTTTCAACCGAATGGTTGACGAAGGCGCGGCCCCGACGACCTGGATGACCAGCACAACAGTACCCATTTGGAAGGGTAAGGGCGACGTCACGGAATGCTCCAACTACTGGCCGATTCGCCTTTTATGCCACGCCATGAAGATTTTCGAGCGAATCTTGGATGCTAGACTACACCAGATCGTCACATTCACGCCGAATCAATGCGGCTTCATCAAAGGCAGCGGAACGACGGACGCCATCCATGCCGCCCAGCTCCTCGTAGAGCGATACCGGGAGAAGAACAGGTGAGTTCACGTGACCTGGATCTCGAAAAAGCGTTCGACAAAATTCCGCACGACCTAATCTGGCACACCCTCCGGTCCCACAACGTGCCCAAGGCCTACGTCCAGTGGATCCAAGCGTTTTACCGCAACGTCACCAGCGTGGTTCGAACCCCGGTCGGATCATCACCATCCTTCCCCATCACTGTCAGAGTCCATCATGGATCAGCCCTCTCGCCGCTCCTATTCATCCTATGCATGGACACGGTGATGGCTGACATCCAAA